TATAGCAGCAGAAAACAAAGACAGTCTCCCAACTCCAAGTAAAGTGAAAGGCCTTGCTTAACACTGATTTGGAAGAACAGGTCAAAGAATAACATACACTGTGAGTTCTATCACGTTTAGTCAAAGTACCGTACTTCCGCTCTGAAAAACAAGATCTGACCCAAGCACGTTGTAATCCGTATTTTAGATTTACAAAAGGAGGCACCAATGTCGATGGTTGAAGTGAGACATTTCTCCTCCTATTCCTGGAGACAGTTCCTGGATACCATTTCCTCAACCTCCCAGTTTCATTTGGTCAAAGGAGCTCCCTTACCTCCCTAATCATCCGGGAACTCACCATGAAAACATTCACATACCTCTCTTTAACAAATCCATCTAAACTTGGTTTTGCTGAGCAAAACTCGCTGTCACTCACTGATGCTAGGCTCTTTTTTTCTCTGTGGAGCCGAGGATGATTAAGATACCTACCACCTGTGGCTGGGACATCCTACCTTGTTCTACCTTCTCATGTTCTACTTTGTATCATAATTCATTTTCTATACGCGTGACCTTCCCCACGAGACCATTAAGTTTCTTGAGAGGGGCTCCAGTTCCTCTTGACAACCACCGCATAGCCTAACAGTGTGGTATGATTCGGCACCTACTCAATGACAAAGAATCCTAAAATAAGTCTTAGCTGGCTTTTCACTGCCACATTCCATTCCCCTTCTAGGGGCGGGAGAGAAAGAATACAAGAAGTAGCGGGCATCCACCTAACAACCCAAAAAAGTCAAATCATCCCAACACATGAGTGTTTAAACCAGAGAGCAGGGCAGTGAAAGAGAAAAGGCCACTTCTGGGACGAGACGTTAAGAATTAATCAGACGCAGTCCCAAACTGTTTGCGGGACTCACGCACCAGCGAAGGAAGCAGACACTGAGAGGCACGATGACAACGCTCGATGGGACCTCGGGTCCCCAGGGGTAGGGGATGCAGCTTCTCCCAACCAGCCTCGGACCGACAGACACCACCCCCTGCCGCCCTCTTTAGCTCCCGCACTCACTCTTGTCAAGAGGTTGGGTTAGCTCGGCCCCAACGTCGCCATCGGCGTTGGGGCCCTGAGGTTTCACACTCAGGGGCACGAACAAGGCCGTGTTCGGGGTTTTGGAGCCACCAGAGGCAGAGGAGGAGGTTGTGGCAAGGACAGAAACTTGCCCCAGAAACCCGGGAAAGGGCCCAAAGTGGGGGCGAAGAGCAGAGCAGATGGCTGCCCGGTGGCCAGCCTGGCGCCCCGCGGAGAGCCGAGCCCACAGTAGGGCACACCGGGGGAAGGACATCGAGGCCGCAGGTTCTACAGCGGCTGGCAGCTGCTGCGGACACGGCGACGGACAGTGACGCACACCTCCAGCGCCTGCTGTCCGGAAAGTCCCAGGCCGAGCAGGTGAGCTGCCCGAGAAAACGCCCGATCGATAAGGAAAAAGCCCTGCCGTAAGGGTGTTCTTTCAGGGAAGAAAAAGCTTAGCGGAGAAAACGACAAGAGATCATTTTCGTTCTCTTTGTCTGTTTTGTTGGCGACTGGGACCAGCTTTCCCAGAAGAATGGAAAATAATCAGGCATCTTTGGAATGTCATAGATGAGCGGAAGGGGCCTGCTAGTTGTGTCACGTGATGCAAACTAGTCCCTTGGCAAGCACGTGTCCAGAAGCACTGGGGCAGCGGGGTTAGCAGTGAGGGAATGGACGATGGAGAACGAACGGATGATGGAGAAGGAACTGCCAAGACTCAGGATACTAGTGTGTCTTGCGGACTCAAACACTAGCATTTCCCCAGAGTTTCTTGCATTGTTAACTGTCATTTCTTGATAGGGTACGTTAGCGATGATAACCTGATAATGCCCCTCAGAAACATTGCTAAGAAATAAGTACCTTTTCTTTTTTTTCTTTTTCTTTCTTTTTTTTTTTTTTTGAGACAGAGTCTCCCTCTGTCGCCTAGGCTGGAGTGTGGTGGCGCGATCTCGGCCCACTGCGACCTCCACTTGCTGCTTTCAAGCGTTTCTCCTGTTTCCGCCTCCCAAGTAGCTGGAACTACAGGCGCCAACCACCACGCCCTGCTAATTTTTGTATTTTTAGTAGAGACGGGGTTTCACCATATTGGCCACGCTGGTCTCGAACTCCTGACCTTGTGATCTGCCCACCTCGGCCTCCCAAAGTGCTGGGATTACCAGCGTGAGCCACCGTGCCCGGCCATACTTTTTCTTTAATGTGAGGAGTTTGTGTACACCATCCTAGCAGCTATGTCACAAACACGTCAAAAATATGTGCTTTGTACCCCAGTCGTAGTTTAGTTCCGATGCATTTGTTGAATACGGTGTCCTCCTGTGAGGCTGCAACATGTTAAATTCACAAGTTTCATCTGGGCGTGGTGGCTCACGCCTGTAATCCCAGCACTTTGGGAGCCAAGGCCAGTGGATCTCCTGAGATCAGGAGTTCGAGACCAGCCTGGCAAACATGTTGAACCCCTGTCTCTACTAAAAATACAAAAATCAGCCGGACGTGTTGGTGCACACCTGTAATCCCAGCTACTAGGGAGGCTGAGGCAGGAGAAAGTCGCTTGAACCTGGCTAGTGGAGGTTTCAGTGAGCCGAGATCGCACCACTGCTCTCCAGCCTGGGCAATAGACTGAGGCTCTTGTCTCAAAAAAAAAAGAAAAAAAAAAAAAAATCACAAGTTCAGCTTCTTCACATCTCTTTATACTTAAATCATTAAGATCTTACAACTTGAAAGAACGTGTTAAGTAATATATAATACTGTATCTCAGATAGGATGCCTGTAACAATTTGCCCCATGATTCACAAAATAATCTTTAAACATCAGGGATACAAGGAGACAGTTCTTTGCTTTCAAAATTTCTGATCTGGTTTTGGCGATAAGAATAGTATACATTAAATAATGCACTCTAACTCTACTTAATAGGCTTACTACTCTGATAGGCTAATGGCAGTTGTTCAAAGAAAGGAGCAATTTTAGAGTGGTAAGGAGATTTCTGCCAGACTTAAAAGCAACAAAGCGGCGGAGCACTGTGGCTCACGCCTGTAATCCCAGTACTTTGGGAGGCTGAGGTGAGCGGATCATAAGGTCAAGAGATCGAGACCATTCTGGTGGCTAACATGGTGAAACCCCATCTTAAAAAAAAAAAAAAAAAAAAAGAGATGTAAAACAAAAAGCAACAAAACATGTAGAGAAGTGGTAATTAAATTCTAGTCAGAGGAAATGATGTAAGCAGAGGCTTAACTATGGAAAAGACATATTCAAAACATTTAAATACGAGTTAAGGCAAGGCTGATTCTATGACTTACAAATAGTGATTATATTTTTGAGACGAGAAATCATTCATTAGAAAGTACCTAGAATAGACTAAACACAAATATATGCAGCTTTAGCAACAGTTATAGCTGAAGGCAGCAGATTCCTGTGTCTAAATTATGATAGAGACCATGTAAGTGGAATGGAGAGATCTTACAAGACTCCTTAGATAATGTAGTGAGTGACCAAACATGCCAGAAAATGTAAACAGTGATGTCCCGTCAGATTTGGAAACTAGAATGAGGGATAAACCAAACATTTAATATATCGCTGAGGCAAGCACTATGTTCTTCCTTTTAACCTTTTACTATGCCTGACAACCATTTAAGAGGTATTATTGTCACCAGGTTAAGTAACTTGCCCCAATAAGTGGTAGAGTCAGATACTAATCTAAATCTTTTTAAAAATTATTTTATTTTTAAAATTAGCCACATTCTTTTTTTTTTTTTTTTTTTTTTGAGACAGTCTCACTCTGTTGCCCAGGCTGGAGTGTAGTGGCACAATCACAGCTCACTGCAACCACTACCTCCCAGGTTCAAGCTATTCTCATGCCTCAGCCTCCCAAGTAGCTGGGACTACAGGCCTGTGTCACTGCACCTGGCTAGTTTTTGTATTCTCTTTAGTTTCAACATGTTGGCCAGGCTGGTCTCAGAACTCCTGGCCTCAACTGATCTGCCCACCTTGGCCTCCCAAAGTGCTGGGATTACAGGTGTGAACCACTGTGCCCAGCCAGTTTTTCTGGTTTCAAAGCAAATCGGCTTTTCACAACAGGCTAACATTGGAAGAAATAGTTGAGAGGGAAAACTAGTGTATAATTAGAGTCATGAATGATTACTGCATAGTTTTAGCATTTTTTTTTACATTATTCAAACCATCTGGGCGTTTTTGACAGGAGCAGCATATTGGGCCAGAATCAACAGTTGTGCTAGTCTTTTTTTTTTTTTTTTTTTTTTTTTTTTGAGAAGAAGGTGATCCTGAACTCCTGGACTCAAGCAGTTAATTTTTAAATTTTCTTGTAGAGATAAGGTCTCACTTTGTTGGCCAGGCTGTTCTTGAATTCCTGGCTTCAGGTGATCCTTCCACCTCAGACTCCTGAAGTGCTGGGATTACAGGTATTTCTGTTCATTTGTTTTTAATGCTTATGGCCTAGTCTCTGAGATTCTTGTTTTATTGGTCAGAGTAGGACCTAGACATGGTTATTTTTAAAAGCACATAAGGTGATTCTAATATGCAGCCAGGGTTGAGAACCAATGGATTAGATATTGTAACTCTTCATTAAAGAGACAAATTTCTTTTTCAGTTTATGACTTCTAATTAACTGGCTTACTTCTGCCTGAAATAGCCAGATACTAAATTTGAATTTTTCTTTTTCTTTTTTTTGTTTTCTTTATTTTATTTTATTTTTTTGAATTTTTATTTTTCAAATTGGTTATGCAACAAAAAGTCTTGAGCAAAATGGATGGGCATCCTGTATATGACTGTTGTAAGCCAGCCTATTAAAAACATTATATAGCTATTTAAAATCAAAACCAGTAGTAGTAATAAAAATTCATTATCACAATTACAGCTTCCTAAACTATTAAGCAATCCTATCCTCAACACTAAATCTAACAATGAGAAGAGATTCGGAGAGCTATTTTAATCAAAGAGCAAGCTCAGATTCTGTTTCAAATTCTTTATTATACATCATGGTTGCACAATTTGAGGCTGGTTAAATACAATTGGATTTCAAAATCTCTGAATATTTTCTAGATTACTACATGCAAGTGACCATGAAAATATTTGGCATTTAAAATTTCTGAAACTCTGAATAGGCACTTACATGAAGGAAAACATTACCATTCATAGATATCCACATGTAGAACAGATGCTCCAGCACATGGTACATGGACCCTTTTGCCGGTAAAGTTGGTTACTGACCATTTTATCAAAGTGCCATAGTAGTAAAACAGGTTTAAAGAAATGTAATTTGGGTTATTTAGCTTACTCATAAAGTAAGGTTAACTGACAAGACTTGCACTGAAGTATATATTAAAAAAAATTGGTACAAAACCCAATGAACCATAAGTGAAAGCAGTTTCCATACAGCAGGTTTCATTTTGGTTCCTACACTCCACATTTAGTGTATTTGCGATCAGACCCCATGCATATGAATGGATGACTGTAATCTTTTTTTACAGACTTTAAACAAATGACTTGAATTTAGTGTTAAAAAATTAAGAGACTGGATGAAGTTTCAATGTGAGTTTAAGTAGCCAAAGTTTGAGTTTAATAAACATGAAATTACCAGATCTAGATACTATACGCTTCACAAGTCCTCCTGAGTCCCCCATCCCAAAATTTTCCCCTGAAAAAGAGAATCAATTTGTGAAGTTAAGAAAATATTTGAATACACATGGCAAAAGATTAAATTGAAATATACAAATATGTTTCAAAATATTTATGGAAAAATGGTTTTAACAAATCTAAAATGCTAACCTAAGTCAACTCCACATTGCAGAAAACACACGACTGGAAAATAGCAAACCTGTTACTTAATATGGCTAAAAAAAAGAAACATAATCCCTTGTGGAAAGAAATTCAATAGTCATACCACAGAAGATCTCAAAGAGAATAAAATTCCGGAAGCCATGGAATGGTATTCAGAGCACCTACAGTGAAACATTCTATATGCATTTCTCAAATACATATGTAAAACAAATGTAGTTCTCGAAAATATTGAGGTGCCATGTTTTAAATCTCTGCAGGATGCAAGGGGCCACTCAGGGTTTCTAATTTTCTTTGAACATAAAATATTTAATTTTTTGCATGTAAAGAATAAGAGGTAATCATTAGCATGAAAAGAGAGAAGAAAAGGATTTATAATCAACATTATGCAGAAAGAAAGCAAAATTACAAATACCAGCTTACTCATGACAATTTTTCATGTTTATGCTGATGCATATCTGAGTACTTATCAGAGTATGAAGTTAAAAAAAAAAGGCAGCTTAAGAAAGTTCCAGTGTTTCAAAGAAAGCACTTTTAAAAATGTATATACATGAAAAGAACATTTCATTATATCATAAAATAAATGCAGTGCTGTTAAGATAAAGGAAGACTAATATATATGGAGTTTTGGCCTTTTTTCCCCCACTCCGGCTGCAACCATCTTTAACCTGCTGAACGTAATCTCAATGGTTACAGGAGTTTTTTACTCTTCTTTTTTCCTCCTGTTCAGTTCACATTTCAGGCTGTTCAGCAGATGCCTGTGATTCTGGAGATTCAAATCGCTGGTGAAAGTTTGTTCTCTGTTTCCTCAGTTTTTCAGGAGCTTTTCTCCATAAAATGATCTCCTAGAAAACAAATGCAAGATATTAACAAATTAATGTTTGATATGATGCCTTATCTCTTTGATGCCTTAAATTTTCACCATGGAAATCATGACTGCCCCTTTAATTTTAACCATAACACAATTAAATTCTTCCCTAAAAAAGCCCTCCTCTTTTCTAACTGATGCTGTTTCTTCCAATTCTAATCTTGACTGTTCCTCCTGCCTCCAGTGCTCCTACCACCAGCACCCATACATTTCCACCACCACCAATCCAATCTGGAAAGAAGTCCTATGATTACTTTAAGTAATTCCCCAAATCCATCCTTTCATTTCTGTTCCATTCCCCTCACTCAAGTTCAAGCTCTTGTCACTTAGATATTAAAACAGCTTCCTCAGAGGCAAGGGAGGCAGGGCGTTTTCTAACTAACCCTTCATTATCACTACCAGGTAAATCCTCTTAAACACTGCTTGGATTGCTCTTCAGCAGTTCTCAGTGCCTCCAGAATAAATTTCCAAACAGGTATTCATGCCTCTCTATAACCTTTATCCAATTTACCAACATCACTCTTTTCCCTCCCTAGAGCCTTTCCCCCACCAGACAAACTGAGTTACTCTGCCTCCAATGTAATCTAAATAAACTTGCCCTACATCTTCCCCAGTCTTCAAATCTCTATTTCTCTACCTAACTCTTACCCTTAACCAATCCACCCTGAGAACTTCCCTGTTCTAAATTCCTAAAATTATTAGCTTTGTGAAGTCATTATGGGGTTTTTTTTAAAACCCACATATCAAAACTTAAACATCCAAATGAGCACACATGAGAAATAACAGACTACCTCCATTAGTGCCATGATATGCAATTGATTTTGAAATTATAAAAATCATGTAATTAATTTTGAAGTTATAAATGACCTATTTTTAATTATACAACATTAGGATGGCAATACTAGAATAGGTTTTCTCTCTTCTAAATTACTGTCAAACTATTTTTTAAGTATTCTGTTAGTTTACATTTTCCTTTTTCCAGATATCTACAATGTGAGAACATGGAGGACAAATCATGTTTATAAAAGCTCGTTTTTGCATTTTTCACAGTATTTAGCACAGAATAATTTCTAACTTAGCTTTGAACACTCAACTGACATTCAACTACATATTTATTAATTTGATTCAGAATACGAAAGACCATTCTAATTACTATCTTCATTCAAAATTTACCAAAAGCTTTTAACTGATTTTCAAATGAGAACAACTTATAATGAACATTTTATACTTTAAAAAGTATTAGAGGTTGGGCATGGTGGCTCACACTTCTAATCCCAGCACTTTGGGAGGCCATGGCAGGTGGATCACTTTAGGCCAGGAGTTCGAGACCAGCCTGGCCAACATGGCGAAACCCTGTCTCTACAAAAAAGGATATACAAAAATTAGCCTGGCGTGGTGGCACATGCCTGTAATCCCAGCTACTTGAGAGGCTGAGGCACAAGAATCACTTGAACCTGGGAGGTAGAGGTTGCAGTGAGCTGCATCATTACACTCCAGCCTGGGCAACAGAGCAAGACTCTGACTCAAAAAACAAACAAAAATTATTAGAATTCAGTCATCTCATAGGCATTTATAACAGAAATGTTTAAAGGATAAATCAGCAAGGAACAGTGGTATGTGCCTGTACCTCCCAGCTACTCAGAAGGCTGTAACTGAAGGATTGCTTTGAAGACCCTCATCTCAAAATAATAATAATAATAATAATGTGTATTTGCTGATAAGAGAAAGATATTCAAGACACTACTGAGTAAAAATGCAAATTAAAGAATACAGCTGGGCACGGTGGCCCATGCCTATAATCACAGCACTTTGGGAGGCCAACATAGGCGATTGCTTAAGCCCAAGAGTTCAAGACTAGCTCAGGCAATATAGTGAGACTCTGTCTCTACAAAAAATTATAAACAGTAAGAAAAAACAGCAACATCCATAATATGATCTAAATACACGTACACACATTAGTTGCAATGGTGGTGAAAATTCTGCTGACCTTCATTCCTTATTCTTTATTGCCTTATTTTTTCTAAATAAGCAGCAGCTATTATTAAAAAAGAAAAATAAAAAACCTTGTAAGAGAAAACTAAAAGCCCTGAAAAATTATAGCTCACTCTGGAGTACTGCAGAATGATTGGGGAGGGATTTATCATAGGATCTATTCTCATCTACTTCTTTATGGATCATACCCACAGTGTTTTTATTTACTTAGAAACTCCCACTCACTCGGTACAATGAAGCTTAGAAAAGTGAGTGCTTTCAAGCTATTTTTAGATCTGCTGCAGAACACAGTATCAGCCTAAGTGGCACCATACCTGCTGTTTGAAGTACCTTCGGTCTTCCTCATCAACAAGCACTAAATTCAAAAAGTACCTTACTGAAAATTTTTTGTTCACATCTCTCATTGTTGGAGTTGGGTCATATCCTGCTAAAAATAATCTTATTGGAATTGATTCACCTGAAAGAAAAGGAATTTCCACTTAATTCTAAAGATGATTAAATACAGTCACTTAATAGGACTAAGCACTACAGAGTTGACACTAATGCTTCAGTTCTTCACTGGGCTAAATAATTCTTTGTTGTAGGGAGGGTCCTATCCTTTGTAGGATATTTAGCAGCAACCCTGGCCTCTACCCACTAGATACCAGTAGCACTCTCCAAGTGTAACAGCCGAAAATGTCTCTAGACAACACAAAATATCCACCGTGGGGCATAGTTGCCCCTAGACAAGAAACACTGTTCTAGAGCCAGAATACCTGGCTTCAAATCTAAACTCAACTACTTATTGACTGTGTGACCTTGGACAAATCACTTATTCATTGTTTTAAGTTCTTCACCTGTGAAGTGGGGAATAATAATAGTATTCACAAGGAATGTGCAAGAACTATATGGGTTAATATACTTAAAGAACTCAAACAGTGCCAACAGATAAGTGCTATATAAGTAGTTTTGGGCTAGATGCAGTGGCTCACGCCTGTAATCCCAGCACTTTGGGAGACTGACATGGGCGAATCACCTGAAGTCAGGAGTGCAAGACCAGCCTGACCAACATGGAGAAACCCCATCAGTACTAAAAATACAAAATTGGCCAGGCATGGTGGCGGGCACCTGTAATCCCAGCTACTCAGGAGGCTGAGGCAGGAGAATCACTTGAACCCGGGAGGCAGAGATTGTGGTGAGCCAAGATCGTGCCATTGCACTCTAGCCTGGGCAACAAGAGCAAAACTCCATCTCAAAAAAAAAAAGTAGTTTTTGTTATCTTCTTTCACAAAGTTTACCATAATTTCTAATCATGTGTATAAAGTTTTGAATATCTGTTACTCTTACATCCAAAGCTAAAAACGGACAGAATGATGACATTCTTTCATTACCAAAAAGACTGTTATTCAGATTCTCATTGCTTCTGTTTTCCTAAGGGTAATTATTCATATATTCTCTTTTGATTTTTTTTTTTTTTTTGAGATGGAGTTTTGCTCTGTCACCCAGGCTGGAATGCAATGGTATGATCTCAGCTTATTGCAGCCTCTACCTCCTGGGTTCAAGTGATACTCCTGCCTCAGCCTCCTGAGTAGCTGGGATTACAGGCACCTGCCACCACGCCCTGCTGATTATTATTATTATTTTTTTGTATTTTTAGTAGAGATGGGGTTTCACCATGTTGCCCAGGCTGGTCTCAAACTCCTGGCCTCAAGTGATCTGCCCACCTCAGCCTCCCAAAGTGTTGGGATTACAGGTGTGAGTCACCGTGCCTGGCCTGAATATTTTTTAACATAATTTTCTCATGCACACCAATTTAATGAAAGACATAAAACTCATAATTTACATAAAAATTGCTGGCTGCTGGAATTTTACAAAGTAATGTTACATAACACAAGAGAACACATACATGCATCATAAGGGACACAACCACCTAGCTCAAAGAATGACAGGTAGTTTTAGAGCACCTGAGATTACAATGCCTCATCTACACTTGGCTTTTAATAAATGGTACTGGCTTTGTGATGTAAGTATTAACAATGAAGAAAACCCAGACATAAATTTAAAATGATAAATACTGGCTTCATTGTGTCAGATACTGAAGATTAACTAGTAATGGAACTGCTTATTTTCTTGAGTGCTATAAAGACTCCAAAAACCCACAGGAATTAATGCTCAGCCATAATCCATTTTGTGGTCAGCAGGAGAGAAAATATTTACAAAGACAAACTATTGTATAATAGAAGACAATGAAAATATTACACATTCAAAACTAGAGAACAGATACATATAATTGTCTCTACTAAATTCTAAATTGAAACTGAAAAATTAAACCTTATTTCAGACTAGGAAGTATAATTACAGTTTTCTTTGCAGCTATACAAAGATGACCTCAAAAGCTACCATTATAAGAATAGTATTAAGAATTCAAAGATACTTTCACACTCTTAAAGAAATACAAACAAAACTGCCATAAACACTACCATTTACACTACACAAAAGAAGTAAATGAAAAGTGTGTTACCTTTTACTGGTGCACCATCCATTATTTCGTATTTGGCTATTGTTTCTGTTTCTGTTGTGGTACTGGGTCCTAGTGTAATAATGTAAATAACATTAATTTTTTTTTTTTTTTGAGACGGAGTTTCGCTCTTGTTACCTAGGCTGGAGTGCAATGGTGCGATCTCGGCTCACTGCAACCTCCGCCTCCTGGGTTCAAGCAATTCTCCTGCCTCAGCCTCCCAAGTAGCTAGGACTACAGGCACACGCCACCATGCCCAGCTAATTTTTGTATTTTTAGTAGAGACAGGGTTTCACCATGTTGACCAGGATGGTCTCGATCTCTTGACCTCATGATCCACCCGCCTTGGCCTCCCAAAGTGCTGGGATTATAGGCATGAGCCACCGCGCCCAGCCAATAACATTAATTTAAATATTCCTGAATATAATTACTAGCCTTATGCTTTCTTATTTTTCTACTACATTTTTTTTTTTAGAGATGGTATCTCACTGTCACCCAAACTAGAGTGCAGTGGTGCAATCATGGCTCACCGCAGCCTCAACCTCCTGGGCTTAAGCAATCCTCCTGTTTCAGCCTCCCAAGTAGCTGAGACTACAGGTGTGCACCACCATGTCTGGTTAATTTTTCAATTTTTGTAGCGATGGGTTCTCAGTATGTTGCCAAGGCTGGTCTTAAACCCCTGAACTCAAGCAATCTTCCCATCTAAGCCTGGAAATAAGCTGTTAACTACAGGTGTGCACTACCATGCCTGGCTAATTTATGTGTTTCACCATGATGCCCAGGCTGGTCTCGAACTCCTTGGGTTCAAGTGATCTGCCTGCCTCAGCCTCCCAGAGTAGTGGGATTATAGGTATGTGACTGCACCTGGCCAAAAATTTCTTTTTAAACAACAAAGGAGAATTTGAAGTTTAGGTTTTACTATTTTAAAATCACTTAAATTTACTAGCAGGTAAAAACATGAAGATTAAGAAATCACATATGGGGGTACATGTTCTCAGGACCTCTTGAGATTGTGCCTTGGGTAAGAATTTTATTTAAAATAATATTAATAAAAGAAATCAATGTTTTAAATTATGAATATTGACTATATTTTAAATTCTTATAAAGTGTTGCCTAAAATTATTTTCAGCAAAAAACCCAACAACGTTAAAGAAGACAAAGTGAATTTATATATTGAAATTAAAAAGCAGGGATGAACCAATAAATGCTATCAAGACAACTGGTCAGCCACCTGGAAAAAAGGAAAGGTGATACACACCTAACATGTTACATCACAACACATTTCAAGTGAATTAAAATTTCAAAAACAAAACAAAATCCCCAATTTATTACTTAAGTAGAATCAAGCACAAAAAATTATTTTTAGAAAACTTCAATGTGAAAAACACCTTTCTAACCATGGCATAACACCCAGAGGCCATAAAATGAAAAACTAATACATTTGACTTCATAAACATCTAGAACTCTACATGGCATAAAACACCACAAACAAGACAAACAAGGAAAATTTTTGCTATCCTTAATATTAGAAAAAGGAATTGAGGGCCCAATGGCTCACACCTGTAATCCCAGCAATTTGGGACATTGAGGCAGGAGGATCGCTAATCCAGGAATTCAAAACCAGCCTGAGCAACATAGTTACAGCCTGTCTCTACAAAAAATAAAAAATTAGCTGGGTGTGGGGGGATGCACCTGTGGTCCTAGCCACCCAAAACGCTGAGGTCGGAGGACTGCTCGAGCCCAGGAGTTCAAGGCTACAGTGAGCCATAATTGTACCATTCCACTCCAGCCTAGCGACAGTGTGAGACCCTTGTCTCAAAAAAAAAGGTGGAGGGGAATTGATTTCTCTAATATATAGTTTCTACACATAAGTAAGAAAAAGAATATAATAGTCCAATAGAAAACAGGGCAAAGAATATGAATAGTTTACAGAAAATAAAAATTGTTTCCATTCGCATGAAGAGATGTTCATCCTCACCTCAATAAGAAAACTGAAAATTAAAACTACAATGGAATACATTAATTAGCTTGATTGTGGTAATCATTTCATAATATATACATTCCATCATACACAGTGAATATATACAATTTTTATTTGCCAATTATACCTCAATAAAGCAGTGGGGGAAAAAGAATCCATAAGAAACATCTCAAAACTGCAATGGAGTACTATCTTGCCCTTACCCATTAGACTGGCTAAAAGTTTTTAACAGCATTGTGCTCATGAGAATATGGAGGAAAAGAGGCACTCTCCTACATTCATTGCTGATAGCAATGCAAACCAGTATAATCCCTAAAAAGGACTTACTGATAACATGCATCAAGTTTATAAATGGCCAGGTACAATGGCTCATGCCTATAATCATAACACTTTGGGAGGCAGAGGTGGGAGGATAGCTTGAGCCCAGGAGTTTGAGACCAGCCTTGGCAACATAGTGAGACCCTGTTCTCCACAAAAAGGTAGAAGAATTACAAATAAATATACTGTTTAACCCATGAATTCCACTTCTAAGATTTCATCTTGGACACATGTCTGTACATGTGTAAAATGGTATTATTTATAATAGCAAAAGACTGGAAACAACCTGTATGTCCACAAACAGTAGACTGGTTCAATTCCACAGTGTATCAAAAAATGGAAAATTATTAAAAAGATAAAGTATTCTACACACTGGTATGGAAAGTTCTCTAAGATGCACTAGTAAGTGGTAAAGCAAAGTATGCATTATACACCACCATTTAAGTAAAAAGGGGTGTGTGTTATACATAGGTACTTGCTTGTATGTGTAACTAACTAGAAAGTTTTGTTCTTGTTTTTTTGGAGTGCTCTCACTGTGTTGCCCAGGCTGAAGTGCAATGGCTATTCACAGGCACAATCCCACTACTGATCAGCTCCACTGAGAATTTTTAAATCTATATTACCTATGAGTAGCTAGAATACAGAAATAAGATACTGTTTACTGTATATTCTTTTACATTTTATTTTTGAACCATGTGAATTTATTACCTATTCAAAAATTAATTTTTTATAAAAAATAAATCCTGAACAATCAAAAATTAATTTTTAAAAAAAGCATTAAATAACTTACGGCCAGCAAATTTTTTTTTTTTGAGATGGAGTCTTGCTCTGTCACCCAGGCTGGAATGCAGTGGTGCAATATTGGCTCACTGCAGCCTCCACACCTCCCAGGTTCAAGCAATTGTCCTGCCTCAGCCTCCCCAGTAGCTGGGACTACAGGCACCTGGCTAATTTTTTGTAGAGATGGGGTTTCATCATGTTAGCCAGGATGGTCTCCATCTCCTGATCTCATGATCCACCCACGTCAGCCTCCCAAAGTGCTAGGGTTACAGGCGTAAGTCACTGCATCCAGCTGCCAGCAATATTAAGTAGCAAAATCAGGACTCAATGTGGTATCAAATTAATTATGTTTGAACAATATTTTAAGATTTTTAAAATGTCAACTAAAACAATGAATTTTAATTTACAAACTCTTTTCAACTTACCAATTCCTGTGATCTCTTTTTTGATCAGCTGTAACTCCATATGTTGTATTTTTATTCTTACTAATAAGAAGTAAATTTTTCCAACGATCACATCCTTTAAATGATACCTATTGAGAAAGAACATATCTCACTAAATATCAGTTTAAAAACAAGCAAAAAGAGTGAAATACGTCCTAAAAGACTTTGACAGATATATTTAGTCTAATTATTTAAGAATACAATTTTCAGGCCAGGCATAGTACTCCTAGCACTCTGGAAGGCCGGGCCAGGCAGATCACTTGAGGTCAGGAGTTCAAGATCATACTGGCCAAGATGGCAAAACCCTGTCTCTATTGAAAATACAAAAATTAGCTGGGCGTGCTGGCACATGCTTGTGATCCCTGCTACTTGGGAGGCTGAGGCGGGAGGACTGCTTGAACCCAGGAGATGAAGGCTGCAGTGAGTCAAGATCACACCACTGCACTCCAGCCTGGGTGACAGAGCAAGACTCCATCTCACAAAAAAAAAAAAAAAAAAAAAAGCAAGCAAGAAAGAAAAAAAGTACTATTTTGAGCTCTTTCCCAGCCACAGCTGAGTTGCATGGAGGTGCCGGCTTGGGCACATTCAAGATTCAGTTTCACTCACCTCCATAGCTGAGGAAGGCATTGCTGCTGGAGATATAATGACATTAATACTGCTTTACAAGAGGTGCTGAAGACCACCCTCATCCATGATGGCTTAACATGTGGAGTTCACAAAGCTGCCAAAGCCTTAGACATGCACCAAACTCATCTTTGTGTGCCTACAGCTAACTGTGATGAGCCCATGTATGGTAAGTTGATGGAGGCCCTCTGTGGTGAACCCCTGCTGATGACAACAAGAAACTGGGGAATGGGTGGGCCTCTATAAAATTTACAGTGAGGGGAAACGTCATAAAGTGGTTGGTTGCAGTTGTGTAGTAGTTACAAACTATGGCAAGGAGTCTCAGGCCAAGGATGTCACGGAAGAATACTTCAAATGAACAAACAAAACTTTGGCTCACCAAAAAAAAAAAAAACCAAAAACCAAAAAACAACAACCACCATTCTGATTACTCATATTGTTTAGTGTTCCTTTTTTTCAAAAAAGTATTCATCATTTCACTATGCAAATAAGGAATCAAACTTTTACTTGACCATCAATGTACCTCAGATGGAATAATTAGCCTGGTTAACTGTTGTTCCAGCTGGGCTCACAGGATTGCTTGAGCCCAGGAGTCTGAGAACAGCCTGAGCAACAGAGGGAGATGTAATCTCTACTAAAATTTAGCTGGATGGTGCAAAATTTGTGGCTCATGTCTGTGGTCCTATCTACTCAGGAGGCTGAGGTGAGAGGATAGCTTGAGCCTAGGAGATTCAGGCTGCAGTGACCCATGATTGTGCATTCCAGAGCCTGGGTGACAGAGCAAGACGCTTTCTCAAAAAAAAAAAGGTTGATATATTTGGTGTATGACGATATTTTCAACTTTTTTTTTTTTTTTTTTTTTGAGATAGAGTCTTGCTCTGTCACCAGGCACCAGGCTGGAGTGCAGCAGCACGATCTCGGCTCACTGCAACCTCCACCTCTCAGGTTCAAAATTTTATATATTAATATATACAATATATATTATATATACATATATGTATATATAATTTAAGATTCTGAAGGCATGTATATTACATTTTGGTGATATAAACCTGGGAGTGACAACCAAGAAAAATAAACCCCAGAAAACTGGGGTAGGAGGGAGATAATACAAGGTACACCCATTTCTTCAACAAATGAACTTTAATAAAAAAATAGAAGGGAAACTTGTAAGTTAAAAAATTTAAGAGTCAAACAACCAAATCCAATGTATGGTGCTTATTTAGACATTGATATGAACAAAGCATGTGAAAAAAGAAAGGCATCCGTGAGCCAATTAGGGAAATGTGAATGTTGCCTGGTTATATGAAGATATTAAGGAATTACTAATATTTTTAGATATAATAGTATTGTAGTTGTATGTAGAATGATGTAACTTTTTAAAACTTTTTTTTCTGAATAGACACATAAAACGAGCTTGCCATTTAACATCTAACTAAGGAATGTATAAACTCAATACATAATTGCATCCTTTACAGATAACCAGTTAACAATATGCTAAATATCACTGCAGGCTTTTCTATTCATATCAAAATACATTAGCAATTTACAGAAATAAAATAGTACTATGCCTGCTGTTTTTATGGCTAACTTTTTCACTTAATAATACGTCATGGATATGCTCTGGAGAATTAAATACACATCTCTCAATTTTTTTTTTTTGAGATGGAGTCTCGCTCTGTCGCCCAGGCTGGAGAGCAGTGGTGCAATCTCAGCATACTGCAACCTCTGCCTCCCAGGTTCAAGCAATTCTCCTCCTTCAGCCTCCTGAGTAGCTGGGATTACAGGCACACACCACCATGCCCGGCTAAATTTTGTATTTTTAGTAGAGGCAGGGTTTCACTATGTTGGCCAGGTTGGTCTCAAACTCCTCACCTCAGGTGATCCACCCACCTCAGCCTCCCAAAGTGCTGGGATTACAGGCATGAGCCACTGTACAGAGGCTCAATCTTTTTAACTCTTCTTTAGCATTCCACAGTATGGCTGGACCATAATTTATTTAACTGTATAATAGCAGTCGGCATTTACTGGCAGTCTTTTGTTCTTATAAGTAATGTTTCTGAGAACATCTTAGTCCATGTATAACATGATAGATACAACTTCCCATAGATTATATTGAAGCAAATTCCAGACATACAATTGATAAAATGATACATAATTTTATGGGTTAAATTAAATGTCTGGAATTTGCTTCAATATAACCTATGGGGAGCATAAGAAATGAATATTTATATTTGAGAGATAAAATAGAGATAAAACAAACTGGATCGTGTGCTGATAACTGTTGGAGCTGGGCAATGGGTACATGATTCATTATATTGTTCAAGTATACTGCTCAAATATTTTAGTGTCTGTTTGAAATTTCCCATAATAAAGTTTAAAAAGGCATTAAACAATAAACAAAATATGAGCCAGTTTTGTAAAAATACAACATACATAAACATATATACCTTCCTCAACCCCCAAGTAGAGATATACAGGGGATATTAACAGTGGTTAAGCGGTAAAGGTGAAAATACATGAAAAGAGATGGCCAAGATGAGGTAATGTAAAGCCAGTAAGATAAACTGTAACAGTCACAATAGGATTGGCTACCTTCTGAGATGGTGACATCCTCTACAAAAAGTGGCCAAGCAGAGATTTACCAGGAATAGAACATAAAAGACAGCTTAATTGGGTGGAAGCCAGACCAAACTCCTAAGATTTCTTTTAGCTCTGAGATCCTGTTGATCTGTTAACATCAGATTAATGTCACTTCTATCCTTACTTTGACCAACTAACAAAGACCTGAAAAGCAAATTTTTGAATTTTTCCTGAATAACTTATCTGTGAAAGGTACTTACTTTGATTTATTATATTCAAATTCTATATGTAGACAATCTTCAATGCCCACTTCCATCTTAATAGAGTTGTTAACATCAGGATAGGTGGCAAGCTGGTGAACAATAAGATCATATTCTTTTACCAAATCTGTCAGTCTTCTCACTATTGTCACTTTAAGAAAATACCTACAAAATTAAAAGAGAGGATGAGTTAAATCACCTGTAATAAATTTTCATGTTTTAAATCAGCAAACATTAACTGCAACTCAGCCTTCTCCTTCTTGCTGGAACTCCTTTGGGATCAACACACTTCATTACTTCACAAAGGAGTTTAATGCCCCCAACGAAGAAAAAAAAATATGAAGTTCAACTTTAAAAATAGAGTAAATACTTTACAGATGAGTTTGGAGGGCTGTCATCAAGCCTACTTGAAGAAACCGCTCCAGATCATTTAAGGAACTGCTACTTGAAATTTGGGTTGTCAAACCCAGTTCCAGATAGATAATACCAAGTTAAACAGAGAAAGCAAAATCTCAGATTTGATGCATTCGGATTAATATCCTCAAATGCCCTGGACATCCCTGACTTCCTGTATGCATACTTGGTGAAGGGAAAGGTCACTAAATTGAGAGTTTAGAAAACCAGGTTCCATCTACGGCCATACCACCCTGAATGCGCCCGATCTCGTCAGAAAACCAGGTTCCTACTCCAGTTCTGCCATCCACTACCTGTGTCATTTTAGGTATATCGGAGCCTCTCTGGTACTCCAGATTACTTCTGAACCATATATTAAATGAGATTTTTCTGGAAAATTAGTGGATTTAGAAGGTAATTCAGTTTACATGACAAATAAGTACATAAGGGACAATTCATACCAGGGAAGTGTATAACTGGCATGTCTCATAACAATGTTGTCTAACTCTATAATGTTAGAAAGCTCTACTACCTCAGATCAGAGGTATCTGACAAAGTATGCGACAGAATTTTTTTTTTAAGACAAGATTTCGCCATGTTGGCCAGGTTGCTTTTGAACGCCTGACCTCAGGTCGCCCGCCTGCCTCGGCCTCCCAGAGTGCTGGGATTACAGGCATGAACCACTGAGCCCGGACTGACAGAATTTTTAAAAACCTTAAGTCTTCCAATCTAGAATTATAATTAGAGGTTCAAATAAGATATCAACAGTAGTCATTACTTCCTGGTTTTGATTCTGTTTACAGTTTATAATACACATTCATACCTCAAACGGACATTGGCACCGATGTAAGATTCATATGGCTTTTCAACTTGCATGAATTCAAAATCATAACTTCTGCTCTGAGTCAGTTCTCCAGGTAAGGCTAGTTCTTTCACTAGGTTTACAAATTCATGAGTATTACTCTTGTCATTGAAAAGTTCTAAGAAATTTTAAAAGGCAAAAAGACCAATTAATTAATATCCATTTCAATAAAACCCAAACGTCTACTCCGAACACAAACAATTTTTACCAAAAGAATTACTGGGTTTGTCTCTACTTTAATAAACTAGACCTATGCTCTGAATTCCATTATCCCTTTTATAATTATACTCCATGTATAATTATAAGATTTCAAGTGGCACAGCACAATGAAAGTTTGTATTAAAAATAAGTTCATTCCTTTGATGTAGTTGGGGCTATCCCACTATGAAGCCATTTGACAGGTACCAGCAATTATTTGAACTTCCCCCAGACAAGGCAAAAATTTTGTTTTACTTTAGTTAGGCAAACATATTACCTTCATAAAACTACAAAACACAAAAAACTAAAACCAACTATTGATTACTACGACTTGCCTCTCAGAATAGATTACACTCTCTGTCAGAACAGATATATAAACAAATATCTACCCATCCAACTCTAATACTTTAAAAATGAACAGTGAAACTTAGAAAGCTAGATTTTAAGCCTAGTTATGTAGACAGTATTATAAAGACATATTTTCTCTTCTCTTTTCTGAATTTGTAGTACAGAAAGATTTATATACAGTTTAACTCCCTAATAAATCAAGCATGTATCTGAAATAACATATGGAAATGTACATAAGTTGATCTAAGTCAAGAAGAAATTACACCTTTCTCACATGGAGTTTTGTGTTGACACAGGTGAGTCTGGCTACAGGCACACACTAGATCAGGAAAACAAATGGCATGGGTAATTAGAAAATGAAGAATGAAGATGAGGCTGCTAATTAATTATAAGAAAGATGGTGAAAAATGTAGGGAGATGAAAATTTCAGTAGGTCAACTAATTTCTTTGAATTATTTTTCAAGGCTCATAGTTGACTGTAACTCCTTTCATTTTCAGTAAAGAAGTCCAATAACAAATAAAGGTAGATAAGTTAAATATCATTTCATATAAGTCAAAGAAACAATTTAATAATTATAAAGTAAGTCCTCTCTTTTACTATGCAAAATCCATTCCTTCCTTCTACAAAGCTAAGCTCTAATTCAATTATTTTGGTTAAAATTAAACCCTCTTCAAATTCAGTTATCAAAGAAAAAAAAAGTAATACTATTTTAAAACTCACCAATTTGACCTACAAATTCAATTCTAATTCCTTGGTGCTCTAGCCTCTTTCCAGGTTGCTTAAAGGCTAGGTTTACCTGCCAAAACATGAAATTATAAGAGATGTTAACAATCCTTTGAGTGGGCCTACTAGTAGCTTCCTTTCAGATGAATGCAATATATAAGTATTTCAGGTATTCATTTATGAAGTTTGAGACACCACCACATACCTAAATCAAGATGATGTTATAGCACCAGAGAAGGTGTAATTTATTTATACACAATCATGGGTGAACCTATTACATACATCAACACAAAGTCTGCTTTGTTAAGAAGGAATCCTTAATAGTTGGAGAACTATAAAAAGACTCAAATAAAGGAACAGCCTTCAACTATTCATATGTGCTTTCTGGTCAAATAGTTAAATAATTCTATGACTAATAAAAGCATTTTACTGTGAGGTAATTACTAATTTCAAGAACTGACCTAAAAACAGATGCAATTCTAGGACATTTAAATCAACCAAGACTAACATCCACACAACTAGGACTATATTATGGACAATGCTCAGAAATTTGTGGGTGAAATCATAGCTTTATACTTAATTGTACTTGAGGTATCACTTTCAGTTTTTTGTAACCAATATATTATTGTAATCCCTAACCTTAAAAGAAATGCCTCTTGTCCCAAGTCTGCTACCTAACATAAAAACAGAATGCCTAAAGATTTAAATTCAATTATGATTTATCTTACATATTTCCCCTCCCCCAGAAAGGAAGGACTCTGTTGCTCAGGCTAGAGCACAGTGGCACAATCATAGCTTACTGCAGCCTCAACCTCTTGGGTTCAAATGATCCTCCTTCCTCAGCTTCCCAAAGAGCTAGAATTACAGGCATGAGCTACTGCACCTGGCCATCATCTTACACACTTTCGAAATAAAATATGTAATCTCAAAATCCCTAAATTAATATATCTGCCAAGTGGAAATCTTAATATATATATTAAGAGACAGAGTCTCACTCTGTCACCCAGGCTGGAGTACAGTGACATGATTATTGCTCACTACAGCTTTGAAGCCCTAGGGTTAAGTAATCCTCCTGTCTCAGCCTCCAAGTAGCTGGGACTATAGGGATACAGAACTATGCCAGGCTAATTAAAAAAAGATTTTCTGTAGAAATGCAGTCTCACTATATTACCCAGGCTGGTCTCAAACTTCTGGCCTCAAGCAATTCTGCCACTTCGGACTCCCAAAGTGCTGCGCTTACAGACATAAGCCACTGTGCTGGCCACAAACTTATCTTTAAGATCTACAAATAATTCTTCTGTTTTTTTTTTTGTTGTTGTTTTAGATGGAGTTTCACTCTTGTTGCCCAGGCTAGAGTGCAGTGGCATGATATTGGCTCACTGCAACCTTGATCTCCCAAGTTCAAGCAGTTCTCCTGCCTCAGCCTCACAAGTAGCTGGAATTACAGGCATGTGCCACCACACCCAGCTAATTTTGTATTTTTAGTAGAGACGAAGTTTCACCATGTTGCTCAGGCTGGTCTCAAACTCCTGACCTCAGGTGATCCACCTTGCCCTCCCAAAGTCTTGGGATTATAGGCATGAGCTACCGTGCCCGGCCAGATCTACAAAGAATTCTATCATTTGGCTACACCACCATTTACCTGCTGAATTCCCTGTATGGTCATATAGGTTGTTTCTCAGTTGTTCTTTCTTGATAACACTCTTCTTCCCTAAATATTACCTGAGACAGTCAAGGATACAACTTCACACTGCATGGCGTAGGAGCCAGGGTTCTCTTTAAGTACCATTAGTTCACTGTGAGATGACCAGGGTCTAGACTCAAAATCAGCCTTCCCTATGATGGGTGTTTCTCTGCATGTGTTTACAGTCCTACCTGGTTCCCATTCTCTAAGGTTCTGATTGTATTCTGTATATTCATTTATTCATTGCTCACTCAATGTACCCATCCCTGTGCTAGCTACTATTGAGGTGTAGTCTTTGAGGATATAATCTTACCCTCAAAGAGCAGAGAAGTCAGAAAAAGGAAAGAAAAAGCAGAGAATCAGGTAAAATCTCAATATACTGACCAGGCTGGTCTCAAACACTCGGTCTCAAGCAATCCTTCTGCCTCAAGATACCACATCCAGACAAATATATAACTTTTAAATTTGAGAAATATATCTGTAAACTATATCTGTTAGAAAGAAAATTCCAAGCCTGGTGTGGTGGCTCATGCCTACAATTTCAGCACTCTGGGAGGCTGAGGCAGAAAGACTGCTTAAGCTCAGGAGTTGGGGATGAGCTTGGACAGTATTTCGAGACTCCGTCTTTACTAAAAATTTTAAAAAGTTAGCTGGGTGTTGGGGCATGTGTGCCTGTAGTCCCAGCTACTAGGGAGGCTGTGGCAGGAGGAGCCCTTGAGCCTAGAAGGTTGAAGGTGCAATGAGCTAAGATTGTACCACTGCACTCCAGCCTGGACAACAGGGTGAGCCCTTGTCTTAAACAAAAAAGAAAAGAAGGAAAAAAAAGGGCAGAACACAGTGGCTCACACCTGTAATCTCAGCACTTTGGGAGGCCGAAACAGGTGGATCACTTCAGGTCAGGAGTTTGAGACCAGCCTGGCCAACATGGTGAAACCCAGTCTCTACAAAAAACATGAAAATCAGCTGGGCATGGTGACACACATGCCTGTAATCCCAGCTACTCAGGAAGCTGAGGCAGGAGAATTGCTTTAACCTGGGAAGCCTAGATTGCAGTGAGCCATTGCACTCCAGCCTGGGCAACAGAGCAAGACTCTATCTCAAAAAGAAAGAAAAGAAAAAAAATATCCCAATATTTAAGAATGAAGTAGGATCCTTTTTCAAACAAACAAACAAAAAAGCATACTTCCAGTTTATTCTTTACTATAACAAATGTTAGTAATGTAACTTTTAAAAGCTTTTCTTCCAAATGATGTTTCTCAAAAGATAATAGAAATTAAGGACCAAGAAAAGCAGAGGTCCAATTACTTCTGTTGGTAAACTGCATAAATTAAAATATTCATCTTCTGTATCTTCCCTATGTTATAACAAATACAAGTTAGTTACTTGCCTTTAAAATAACTCAGAAAAAAAGTAATTGTGATACACCATATGATGGAATATTATTAAAAGTTTAAAAACAATAATGGTAAAGAATTTTTAATGATGTGCGAGGATGTTCACTGCATGTTACGTGAACAAAGCATGGTTTAATTGTATGCTAGAATATGCTGATTATATATTTTTTAACTATAGAAAGAAAATACTCTTAGCAGCAGTTACTTCTGGAATGAATGATTACTGATTATGGGTAATTGTTTTCTTCTCTGGCTTTTAAGTTTTTTTGTACACAGGGTCTCGCCCTGTCAGAGAGTCTACATGGCAGCAGGCTAGAGTGCAGTGCACAATTATGGCTCACTGCAGCCTCAACCTCCCAGGCTCAAGTGATCCTTCCACCTCAGCCTCCCAAATAGCTGGGACTACAGGTACACGCCACCACACCTGGCTAATTTTTTTTTATACAGACAGGGTCTCACTATGTTGCCCAGGTTTCTTTTAAAAAAAAAGGGGGCAAAAATAATATTAAACTCAGAAAAATATTTAAGAAAAAAAAGTGGTACTTAAACAGGCTTAACATAATATTAAAAGTTTTAGATTTGAACTACAAATAATAAAATAAGCATAATCCCAGCTATTTCATAAACCAAGCAGTAATTGGAACTAGTCTCTAATTTGTAACAATAAAGCATACAGAAAAAAATTGTATTTTTGCTGGGCACGGTGGTGTGTGCCTGTGTCCCAGCTACTCAGGAGGCTGAGGTGGGAGGATCGCTTGAGCCTGGGCTGTAATGCGCTATGCCGACTGGGTGTCCACACTAAGTTTGGCATCAATATGGTGACCTCCTGGGAGTGGGGGACCAGGTTGCCTAAGGAGGGGTGAACCATCCCAGGTCAGAAACGGAGCAGATGAAAACTCCTGTGCTGATCAGTAGTGGGATCACGCCTGTGAATAGCCACTACACTCCAGCCTGGGCAACACAGCAAGACCCCATCTCTTAAAAAAAAAAAAAAGAAAGAAAAGAAAAAGATTGTATTTTTGAAAATATCTAGATGGCAGCAGTTTTTAAGAATGTTTTTATCTGAGCATGGCTTTGTCTGATAGTTTTAAATTTGCAGTTCTTCAAAAACCATCATGAAACCACACTGTTAAAGCAGAAATGCAAAGTTGTTCAGTCTTCCCACCAAACTGCAAACTGAAATTTTCCTTGATCTCCCACTGATGTTAATACACAGTTGTTTTTAAGCCTATTATGGACTCTTCTGCAATCTGAAGAATCCCAGAATTTGAAGGTATAATTAAACATTTTGGTTTAAAAGCTATTCTGCGAGGAAGCACAGAAAAGTAAACCACCTATGATGGTGAGCTGAGTCAAGAATCAACATCAATTCAGTTATACTTTTCTAATTTACTATAATTCAAAAACTTGCAGAAAACTTGCAAGAATAGCACAAAGAAATCCCACATAACCTTTACCCAGATTAATCGTATGTTTTATTGTTGTTGGTGGTGGTGGTGGTGGTTTTTTCTTTTAACCCTTGATGCATTGGGTGTAGTCAGATAATCATATGTTTTAATATTCTGCCCCATTTGCTTTATCATCCTCTCTTTACATATATATGGGTATGCATATATATACTTTTTTCCACAACAAAAAGTTGGAGACATCATGCTCCATTACCCCTAAACATTTCATATGTATTTCCTAATAGACATTCTCTTACATAATCACAGTGCAATTATCAAAATCCCAGCTACTTGGGAGGCTAAGGTGGGAGAAGAACCTCGGAAGCAGAAGTTGCGGAGAGCCAAGATCATGTCACTGCACTCCAGCCTGGGTGACAGAGTGAGACTCAGTCTCAAATTAAAATAAATAAATAAAATAAAGTAAGGGCCGGGTGTGGTGGCTCATGCACGTAATGCCAGCACTTTGGGAGGCCGAGGTGGGTGGATCACTTGAGGTCAGGAGTTAAGAGACCAGCCTGGCCAACATGGTAAAACCCCATCTCTACTA